GGCAATTCTCACCTTGACCACTAGAGGGCGTACTCCCCTTTTAAGTGAGGCGGCTGGGACCTAGGGACGAGAGCCTGACAGTGGTGGCACCCAGGACCCCTGCCTGCCAGGAGCTACTGTGACAACTCAGAATACTGTGAGAAGGCCCAGAAGCGCTTTACGGAGGAAGGGGTGCTTTAGGGGTGGACATGGAAGGACGGGAAGAATTCTATCAGGTAGAAATGAGAGGAAATATTCCACGTAGGAGATATGATATAAACCGAAACTTGCGGACAGTCAGGATCCAGGGTGACTGGGGACTAGCGCCTTCCACACTGAAGTGATGGACAGGGGGGCGCCAAGGAGTTGGGGATGAATGCCATGGACACCGGGGAGCCAGCGGGGAGTTTGAACCAAGGAGTGACATGAGAACTGAAGTTTTCTGAGGCTCGCTGTCTGTCTGTCTGCTGTCTTTTGGGTTCCATTTCTTTCCCCTCTCCTGAGGAAACAAGACTTGGAGAGGCACTCAGGAGGGGAGGTGCCTCCGCCTATGCCCTCGAGTGGCTCTGAGGTGCTGGTTTCCCTCCCCCTCTGGGGCCCAGCCTCAGGCCCTTAAGATCCGTGGGCTGATTCTCCCTGCCCAGTACCAGTCAGTGCCAGCTGGCAGCTCTCACCGGAGCTTGAGGTGGCACGAATATGGGGGGGGGGGAGGAAGTGGTAAGGGACCCAAGGGGGATAGGGGCCAGGATCTGTGGAGGTGGTAGTCTGAAGCTGGGTGGCCCACATGGGGGTCGCATGGGATGAGGGAAAGGCAAGACTGAGAAATCTGGGGGCTTTGGGGTGGGGGGGTAGAGGAGGCATCATACCCCCACTCTGGCAAACCTAATCCTCTCCCCACCATCCACTTTCCTCTGCACCCACCCCCTTAAGCTGCCCCTCACTAATTCGTCTTGGTCCCTTTAAGAGCTGCCTGGGAACTGGGGCACAGGAGGGGGCTGGCAAGGCCCCCACCGCTCCCCCTGACATGCCCGCCTCTGCTCCGCCCCCCACCCCTACCGACTCTGCTGGAAGTCTTGGACGCCTGGGTTAGGGTCTCCACTGCTGGGCTGGGGGTAAGGCTTGAAGGTGGTGGGGAAGGGGGGCCGTGATCCCTGGGTTGGGAGGGGGTTGCGGGATGCCAGTTTCCTAGCACTGTGGACATGGGGTGTCTGTGTGCCAGCCTCAGCGGATAATGGGGGAGCCCTGGCTGGGTGGTCCTCCGGCTTCTTACTGGGGGAAAGACGGAGGACTTTGAGGGGCAGAACCTAGGGAGACAGGATGTGTGGGTTCCCTCACCCTGCACTCCCTCATCTCATTTTCCTGGAACCCTCATTTGCTAAACTTCATCAGTCACTTCCTGCTCCTCGCACAATAAGACACGGGGGCCCCCACACCCCATCTTCCCACAGGTGGGGAAACTGAGGCTCGCAAACCAGAGGAAATAGAATTGAGTGTGAGGCAGCAAGAGAGACGGGGATTAGGTGGCAGAAAGGTCCTCTGTTCTCCACCCCAGAGAACTGGACACAGAGGACCTGGGTGTTCAGCTCAACCCTGGCAACTTTGTAACAACAGTCACTGCCTCGAGCCTAGCCGCTTCCTCAGCAGGACAGCTGAGCGCCTTTCACAGGTCAAGACCCAGAGAAGCTCCCAGAAGCCCAGCTGGGTAACCCCGGCTGAAGCGGAGCCAGGGGAGGCGTGGAGGCCCCCCTACTTGACTGCCTTGGATAATTCAGAAATGCAGCCCCTCCCCAGTTTGCCACAGACTCTGGGTCCAATCCCCTACAGGGAAGGAGGTAGGGGCGGGGCCAAGGACGTCCCAGGATGTGAAGTCTATCTGCAGTCATTCCTTCCCCTTACAACACTAGTTCACTTTTCTTCTACCCACCCCTCACCTTGATTCCAAATGCTTTCTTCCCCTCCTCCCCTGTGTCCCACCCAGTCCTGGGCGGGGGAAGGGGACAGGGATCTGAACTAGCAGGCATCCTCCGAGTCCCCAAGGCCCAGGAGCTGAAGGCTGCAAGGCTGGAGCCAGGAGCGGTGGGGGATGTGACAACAACTCTGTTCAGAGTTCACTTCTGTTTTCAGCACATGTCATGCCCTCTTTGCCCCGCCCTGGGCAGAACCCTCACCCCCCCCTCCACCTCAACTCAGACTTAAAAGGGAACCAGAAAGTGGCCTGCGAAACCCTCTGCTCCGGGGCTTGCACCAGCACACCCATTTCCTTCTTCCCCAAATACTTTGAAGTCTAGAGATGAGCCATGCTGCTCCCAGGTGGGCTGCAGAGATTCTTTTACCTATGTGAATCAGAGAGGGCAAGCACCCTGCTCAGGATCACACAGCAAGTTACAGGCAGCCGGGCCTGCGGCCCAGGGCTCGTGCACCCCAGCCCCATGGTGCCTTTTTCACAGGCTCCCCATAAGCAGAGAGAGGTCAGCCTGGAAGGGGGTTTTTTCAACTCCTCTCGTTACCAGTGAAGAAGTTGAGTCCAGTGAGGACAGGAGAGGCTGGGGCTGCTGGAGGTCGGGCTGGGAGAGGACGCAAGGCTCCCATCCAGACCCCTGCCCGCCTCTGCTCCCTCATGGGTGGAAAAAGACCCAACTCAGGCTTGTCTCTTGTTTTATCTCGCTCTGGTCTAGACCTTTGGAAGGCCTGCCCTCCATCCCTCTTTTATTTTGGCACAAACCTTCGTTGCCCAATAGGTCTCGGGGAGTTCATCAAAGGAGGCCACGGAGAAGCCATGCTCTTGGGAAGGTGGCTGAGGAAGGGAGCGGCAGGGGGGGGCCTTCCCAGGGGGGGCCCTCCCACAGAAGTCAGGATAGTGTTAAGAGAAGAGGGCTTCTTAGGCTTCTGGGCAGAGAAGAGACCATGGCTCTCAGTTTATTTGCATAGATATTTATGTGTTCGTTTGCTTCCTCTTTGGCAAAGTCAGTTTGCATGGGGTCCGGCTGGCTGGCGTCCAGGTGTGACCACCCTGCATAGACACAGTTCCCAGTGAAGAGGAAAACCCAGAAAAACCAACCAGAAGGGGAGTTGGCCCCAGCTGACCCTGAACCCAGCTGGGGGGAGTGTAGCTGTGGCGCTTGCGAGGGAGCTGAACAATGGCCCCCAGGGGCTAGGGTGGCCCTCCTGTCTCCCCCACATCGGGAGCCCCACCGCCTCCACATGTGGAGCCAGGAGCCACAAAAGGTGATGCACAGGGGGGCACGGGTAGGAGGAGGAAGAATATGAGGAGATTCTAGTCCCTCCCACTTAGAGATGCAGTCGCCATGGTGATTTGAGGACCAGTGAGGCGGGATGGGGTTGGAGATGGGGGTGGGGGTGTGGCGGGATGAAGCACTGGGAGACCGAAAGCCTGGCATTCCAGGGGGAGGGGACCGTGGCCGGCGGCACCCCCAGGCTCCAGGTAAGGGAGCAGGAGAGCTGACAGCCCTGAAAGGAGAGGGCGGGCCATTGTCTGGCGCTGGCTGTGCCCTGAGGAAGGGGCAGACAGACGGGGTCGGGCGATTGTGCGTGGTAGTCAGCTCGGCCTCCAAGCACTAGTCAGACTGGAGGAGGAAGTCTGAGAGGCGCTGGGTAAGGGGTTGGCGGGGGATTGGGCTGGGCGGGCGGCAAGCAGGCTGGGAGACAGCGGGGGTAGGGGGGGTGCTGGGGGAGTAGAGGCTTGGGGACGCCCCTAGTGCCTTTCACACAGTAGGCGCTTCATAAATAGAAGTTGCTTTGACTTGATTGTGACTATAAAAAGGGGGCGACGAGAGGCAGAGCAGGTGGGGCTAGGAAGGGGAGCCAGGAAGCTGGTGTTTCCCAGGACGGAGCTCTTCTGGGGCTGCCCCTGAGGCTGGAAGGGAGAGGGAGTAGGGGACACGGGCCTGCTGGGTCATCCGTGAAGCCGGAGTGGCTTCTCTCCTGGCGGCAGAGCCCCTCCCTCAGTGAGGTACCCAGGTTCCCTGGGGCGAGCGTGGGGGAGGGGTGAAGACCGACGTGGCCATCCCCCCCACACACACTCCTACCCCCACACCTGAACCTCTTCCCTGGGCCAGAAAGCCTGACATCAGACATACTGTCTGATGTGGTCTAGGAGCCGTGGGGGAGGTGTCTCCCGGAGGAGCAGGACCTTGGAGCAGGGGGCGGGGCTGAAGCCAGCAGTGTTGTCATGAGGATCCCCAGGCTGGGCTCCAGGGCTTGGGGACAAAGGAGCTGGGGAACCCTCACACTGGGGCTGTGAAATGTCACGGCCCCTACAGTCTGGCCCCTGAACATCTGACCCCTTTCCACCACCAGGTCACCTGAACTGCTGCCGGACTCCAACCCAGACAAGACACTTCCCCTCCCTGGCCTTGTTTCCTCATTTGTAGGTGAGGGGGTGGGACCCCGGAGAGGGGGTGGGACCCCGCTAGCTCAGAGCTTCCTTCGTGGCTGGCGCTGCGGGCAGGTCCTGCCACATCATTTGTGCAGTCCAGTGCATAATGAAAATGTGGGGCCCTTGTTCAAAATGACTGAGACTTTCAAGACAGCAGCGTGGGCCCTCCTGAGCGTGGGGCCTTGTGTGGCTGCTCAGGTCATGTGCCCATGAAGCCAGCCCTGGCTGGGGGCTCTGCCAGCTGCAAGGGAGGGTGGCAGTGCCACTTCGGGCCTGACTCCAGAGGCTATGCTGCAAGAGCTGTAGCGGGCAGGGGCCGTGCCTCCCATCAGGCTGTTGGGTGGGGCTGAGCCAGGAGGCCTTGTGGAGGCCAGGGAAGGGTGGGGGTGGGGGGTGGTACCCGGGGTGGTACCGGTGCCTGATGGATGTCCTTTATCCACAGAGGTTTCTGTTCGCTCTTGAGTCGGAAATCACCCCGAGACACTGTTTCTCAGCCCAGAGAACCTAGAGCTTGCCGCCCTCTGCCCTCCGACCTCCGCAATTGCCTTCTCCATCCAAGAGGCTGAGTTGCCTGGACGGGGACAGGAGCAGGACACCAGAGAAGCGGTGTAGCGAAGGGGTTAGCTCTGAATGAGGCTGGTCTGAGTTGAGCTTGGCTTCTCCCCAAATCATATTCCTCACCTGTGAAATAGGATCCTTGGTGGTACCTATCTGCTAAAACGTGCTAGGTAGACCCAAGCCTGGTAATGCCAACGATTATTGGCTGAGGGGCTGGGGGAGAAGGAGGCCTGGGGTCAGGAGAATCCCTGGTTCTCTGCATAAAGAGGAACTAGGGCAGGGCCTTCATCCAACGCTTCCAGAGCGGGAACAGGGAGTTGGGCTGGGACTTTGTCTCCACCTAACCCCCCAACAGAACTCCTCCCAGCGACCCAGATAAGCCAATCTGTTCAAGCAGAGGAGCCCAGAGGCAGGGTAGGTCCCCGAATGTGAGGAGACACAGAAGGTGGGGTCCGGGTGGGAGTTTCCCTTGACTCTGAGAGTCAGGAAACCTTTCGCTGGGGGGGTCGTGGCCCCTGGCTTCTCCCCAAGACCTGGCAACCAGCCTCTGCGAGTCTGGGGAAGTCTTAGGCAAGTCTTGACAGAAACAGTTGTCGGGAGGGGGTCTGGCTGAGACCCCCCCCCGGGGAAATTGAGGGAAAGTGGCAGCAGAGGGAGAAGGGAAGAGGGCTAAGCAGCCTTGGCGAAGGAATTCTAAGGAATAGCCTTTGCTGTTCCATCACCCTGCAGGCTGGTGCTGTAGCAAGAGGGATGGAAGTCACACTACAGGAAGGACTTCCTGACAGTGAGGGCTGTGCCTTTAAGAAGGAGGTGTGGGTGATTTATTAGAGTCGCATCAGCCCTGGGATGGCTGTACTCTTTGACCCACAGTCTCGGGTTGAGTGGGCAGCAAACTACCCCCTTTGTAGGTCATGGAACCCTTGGTGCTAGAGGCCTCATTAACCCTGCTTTATGAGGTGCCCCCTGGAGGCTTCAGCGGGGGCTGAACAGCCACCATTGGGGGTTGGGTGTCTCAGAAGCATGTTCCAGAAATGTGAGCACAGGTGGGAAATTTTCTGGGCCTCCCACTGGCCTGACGCTGCTCTAGAGTGATGGAGGTCAGAATCCTGGGGGACTTCCTCAGCAAAGCCATAGATAAGAGCCTTATGCAATTGTTTTATTTTGAAGAGACTATGGCCCCCCTGGAGTGGGAGGTTTGAAGGTTAGACCAGTGCAGGGACTTTCCAGTAGGTAGGAGTGGGGAGACCCCACCTTGTGGTTGAGTGAAAAGAGGAATATGAAAGACCTTGTCATCTCCTGCTTGGGAATCTTGAGTAAGAGGTGAAACCTTACGAGTTAGACAGGATGTGACATGATAGAATAACAGGGGAATGGGCTAAAATGACCTAGAAAACTGCCGCCTTTTAGACTCTGGAAAGAGGAAGGTGTGTCCTCCTCTGATTCCCCTCCCAGTTCACCAACTTCCGCCAAGCCTGGGACCTGTCAGAACTCGAGAGGTGGAAAATCTGGTTTCCCTTCCCTAGAGCTCCCAGTGCTAGCTTTGGCATGATGGGTACCTGGAGGGTCTCACTCCGTGCCCAGCCGGGCTGAGCCCCTGTCCCTGGCCTCTGGGGCCTGGGAACCCCCACTCACCTTCTTTCTCTCGGATGGCACCTCCGCTCAAGAGTCCAGACTCCTGGGTTCTGCACTCTGGCTGGCTCAAGGGTATGTTTGAGATGAGCTGGGTGGCTGGAGGCTAGCGGTCCCCGGCCGACAGAAACCAGGGAGAGGGTAGGCAGCTGCAGAGGCCGGGAGACAGCCAGCCACTCCGAACCCTGGGGCACTTCCTGGGCAGTTCTGTTAGCTAGTCTGGTGGGCTGGACTCTCATGGCCTCCCTGCCAGAAGAGGGCCAGGCAGGCCTGAGCGTCCATACCCCGAGCCCAGCTGGGGCCGGGGCCAGGTCAGAGCAGCCGATGCGCACCTGGTCTGCCTGCCTGCTCGGCAGAGGGCAGGGGTGAGTACGAAGTCCGGGTGTCAACAGACCTGAAAGTGCCAGGGGAAGGCAGGTCTGAGGAATCTACACTTTCAGTCTGAGGAGCAGGTTTTCCAGAAAGCCCCCTGCCTGGGGCCAGGCAGCGGGTTGGGCTTTGGGCTATGGGAAGGAGAAAGGCAAAGGGCAGGTAGCAATGACTTGCTCTGACTGAGGTGAGGAAGGCAGAGCGGGGCGGTGTGTAAAAAAGAGACGGGAGGGCAACTCCTACCTAGAGGGGAGGGTAAGGCTGCGGCCTGTGCTGAAATGGAAGTACAAGTCTCAGGAAACTGGCCCTCCCCTAGCACCCCCCCTACACACTTCTGCTGCCTGGGGCTCTCCGATTGGTCCCCAGGGGGGATGTGGTGATGATTGCTTACCCAGAGAGTGCTGTTTCTTCAGGGCCATCTGGTGACAGCCTCTGGCTCAGCATGGCCCTTCCAGCCCTGGGTCTGGACCCGTGGAGTCTCCTGGGCCTTGTCCTCTTCCGACTGCTCCTGCTGCCGCCGCCGTCCTCTGCAGGGGCAGGTGGGCAGGGGCCCGTGCCCAGGGTCAGATACTACGCAGGTAAGTGTTTGATGGCCAGGAAGTGTGGGGATGGCATCAGCCGGCTGGAGGGGTATGGAGGAAGGAGTGACGAATGGAGGGAGGGGAGAAAAACAGACACGGAGAAGTCGAGAGATATGCCAGAGAGAGGGCCTCAGAGAGAGAGAGAGAGACAGCCAGAAATAGAAGTTTGGACTGAGACAGGAGTGAGAGACCAAACCACTTGGGGTGAAGACGGAGCAAAGAGAGGCGAGGGACCGGGGGCACCATTCCTTCTGCTTCTCCAAAATTGGTTTTCATTTCCCTCCTGAAATGTCGCTGACATCAAGCTGGGCACCTCAAACCCGTAACTGCTTTCACATCCCCAGCTGCCCTCAACACCAAGGCCCATGCTAGAAGGTCATCTGTGGGCCTGCTGGGCCAGGACACAGCAGGCCCATGCCAACCACACAGATCATGCTGGACCATGCTGTGTCCCGTACCGTGGATGCCAGCGATATGAGAACTTAGGGTGGCCCGGCTAGGGGACAGGCCCCAGGACCCTGTAGGCACAGCACAGCTTGGCTGGTTTCTTACTGGGGCCGTGGGGCGGCTGGCCCTCTCGCCTCTGGGGAGAAGATTTAGAAGGACGCGGGCCCTACAGGAGCCGGGGCTTCTGGCTCGGCTGTGTGTGTAGCTTCTTCCTGGGGCAACGTGGTCAAAGTAACGCATGTTGGCCTGGGTGGGGAGGCCCCTCTGTGTTGGATGCTGGGATTACAGCCGTGAACAGGACTCGGCCCCACCCTCAACCTGCTCAGAGCCCCGAAGGGAGGCAGATGGGCAGTCAGTCATGCTGCAGGGTGATCAGTTCCGTAATGTGGGTTTATACAGTTCTGGGGGGCCAGCCCTTCTGGCACCTTGTCACACACGATCCCCCAAACAGCCTCTCAGTCCTAAGACTCTGAGCCTCCAGAGGTAACAGCCTGTCAGTCCTCTAACTAATGCAAATGTGCAAAGGTGCCCAGGAGAGAAGAGTTGAGGGCTGTCCCTCGCTGATGGCCAGTGGGACAGGAACACACCCCATCACTACACCAAGGTGATGGAGAGGACATAGGTGAGCCACCTGGGCTCACCTCCCCTACCCAGGTGACATCCAGGCATGGCCATCAGACCTTGTAGGAAAAATGTGTCCTTTCTGATCAGCCTATGGCAGTCAGTCTAGTGGTGGAAATTTCCTACAGCGGTGGAGGAGAGGAAGTGGGGTGGTGAGTGGGACCCTAACACCGACCCACAGTGACGCTGACGCATAATCCTGCCTGTGGCTGCCAACACCTTCTTGTCTATCTGCCTTCTGCTCCCCCACCATCAAGGACCACTATGTCCTCCTCTAGCACAGCACCCCCCCCCACCCCAGCATCCATTGTGCCTCACTTTATTTTCTGTCCCTTTGTCTATCTCCTGAGTGTGAGCCACCCTCCCCTAGCCCCGGGCTGCCTCTCCTCTCTCCTGTGGGCGCAACACACAAAGCTCCAAGGCTGCCAGCAGGGTGGGGTGAGGTGAGGAGCTGCTGCTGAAGAGTGGGTCCAGCTGCCAAGGCCTGGGGAGCACACTCGGCCAAGCCTTCCCTTTCCCCCCACTTTCACCCCAGGAATCAGCTGCCTGCCACCAGCCCCTCATCACTCACCTTTTCTCACCACCTCCCGACAGGGGACGGACGGCGGGCTCTTAGCCTCTTCTCCCAGAAGGGCCTCCAGGATTTTGACACGCTGCTGTTGAGTGATGACGAAGGCACTCTCTACGTGGGGGTCCGAGAGGCCATTCTGGCCTTGGATATCCAGGATCCAGGTGTGCCAAGGCTGAAGAACATGGTGAGGAGGCGGGGGGTCAAGGACGTGGGCTGGGAGTGAGGAGGGCCTGCAGCTGCCATGCGCCCGGGCAGCCTTGGGGTGAAGAACCACCTGTTGCTGTTATCCATACAGAGACCTTTGAACAACATGAGTTTGAACCATGCAGGTCTACTTATACGCAGGTTTTTTTTCAATAAATATACAGTCGGCTCTCTGTATCCCTGGGTTTCCCATTTGCAATTCAACCAACCACAGATTGAAAATAGCGTTTTCTTTTCTTTTTTTTTTTTAAAGATTTTATTGGGGAATTGGAGGAGGGAACAGTGTTGAGGAATTGGGGAAGGGGAACAGCCAAGTTGTTGTCGAATCTTAGTTGTGGAGGGCGCAGCTAGTTCAGCTCCAAGTCCAGTCTCCATCAGGCTACCCGTCGGCAGCTCAGGGCAGCTCAGCTGAAGGTGCTGTGTTCAATGTTAGTTGTGGATCCCATGCAGGAGTCGAACCAGCAACCTTGTTAGGAGCATGTGCTCTCATCAGCTGAGCCATCCTGCCACCTGTTGGCAGCTCAGCTCAGGCACAGCTCACTGGCCCATGTGGGAATCGAACCGGTAACCCTGTTGTTAAGACCCTGTCTGTCTGACCCAAAGCTCAGACGCTTAACCAACTGAGCCACTTGGCCGGCCCAGAAAATAGCGTTTTCGATCCACAGTTGGGAATCTGGGTGCGGAGAGCCGACTGTACACATTGTTCTGTCCCCATATTATAGGAGGGACTGGAGCACCCACAGGGGTCCTGGGACCAATGCCCCGTGGATTCCGAGGGGTGATTGTAGTTAAGCTTTGGGGTGTCAAAAGTGATACATACATTTTCGACTGTGCAGGTGGTTGGTGGCCCCAACGCCAGTGTTGTTCAATTGTCAACTGTCTGTAGCAATAATCAGCAGCACTGGTTGTATCTATCTGGTCCATATCACAGACAAGATGTACTATGGCAGCCGCACTGTGCATTGGTATCATGAGTGCTGGTTGACTACCGCCAGTTGCTAAAATGGCTGACATGGACACATGAGAGATGTATTGACTGAAATTGTATCAATAATGTGCTATCCACCCACTGGCTTCTGTGTTAAATTATAGTCACCCCACTAATAACAGTCCCGCGAGGGAGAAAGGGAGAAGGAAGAAAAGGGGAGGGAGAGAGATAGCAATTCTAGAGCATCTCCATGGTCTGCATGACTATGTGACTGTGAACCACCTGCACCTGTGGAATACGGGTTAAACGTGCAAATACTGATTCCTGTGACACAGAAACTGACACGTTTAACAATTTCCCCAGGAAATGTGTGGTTTGACAACTGCTGCTGCTTGAATACCACGCGCTGCCTTAGGCATTTTGCTTAAGCCACTTTGTTGTGCCAACCAGAAGCCTGTGAAATTGACCGTGGTCACTCAACCAGTACATGGCTGAGCCTAGACACAAACTCAGGTCTGATTCCACAGGCCACATTCTAGTGGCACAGAGCTGTGTCCTAGCGAATATCAGTATCATCAGAGTAAGAGCCCTGGTCACCAAGTGGTGTTATTCTAGCGGCCTATCAGCCGGTCACTAGCCACCATGCCTGCTGGGGATCTTATAGCAGAGCCGAGGAGGGCATGGTAGGCCAAAGCTAGAGCTGAACACCTCATGCCTTTTCACCCCCTCCCTTCCAACTCCCCACTTCAGATACCCTGGCTGGCCAGTGACAGTAGAAAGAATGACTGTGCCTTGAAGAGAAAGAGCAATGAGGTAAGCAGAGATGGGTGGACAGGGGCTCATGTCCCCAGACCATTGCTGGCTGACCTCAGGCAGGGCAGGCAGCAGGGGCTGACGTTTGCGTGGTTACAGCCTGCATACTGTCCTATGGAGACCTACAGGGACCACCTCAGCACTTCCCAGACCTTCTCCCCACTAGGAAGTGACGGGGGCAGACTCTGGGGGCCCAGGAGTTTGGGGCAAGTGGCCTGGGGGCCTGAATTCTCTATCTCCCCAGACACAGTGTTTCAACTTCATTCGTGTCCTGGTTTCCTTCAACGCCACCCACCTCTACGCCTGTGGCACCTTCGCCTTCAGCCCTGTCTGTACCTTCATTGTGAGTTACCTGGCCCCAAGCCTCTGCCCTCACATCCACTCCCAGCCCATCCTCTGCAGCTCTGGAAACCTCAGGTCTTCCAGAGGCAGAACCATCGTGAGCTTCCTGGCCCCAGACCCATTTCCCCTTATGTCCCTTTCCTTGCCTCCCGCATGCCCCTCATTTCCCAGACGTGAGACTCTGGTGGTATTCTAGCCCCCCCAGCTTTCTCCCCTATACACACAGGAACTCCAAGATTCCCACCTGTTGCCCATCTCAGAGGACAACGTTATGGAGGGGAAAGGCCAAAGCCCCTTTGACCCCGCCCATAAGCACACAGCTGTCTTGGTAGGTGAGTATCAGGTTCCCTGGTCCATCCCTAACACCTGATTTCCCAGGTCACTCTGTGAAACATGGAATCTGACAGAGGGAGGGGAAGCCAGGAGCCTCAGGCACAAGGTCAGGGGGAGAATCGGGCACCCCAACCACTAGCTCCTGCTGAAGCTGCCACAAAGGAGGTGGAAAGAGATGGATGTGGAGAGATACACAGAGGCGGGAGGGGCTGGGAGGGGTTCCAGGCAGAGAAGAGGCCTGGCCTGAGATCCAGTCATCAGATCAACAAATAGGCGCTGGGTGAGCACCTCCTCCAGTGTGTAGGCATTGTGCTAAGAACTGTGGGGTTACAGAGGAAGAAGTCACGGCCCCGTGCCCTCCTGGCACAAGCCATTACCGACTTCCCACCCTAGCTTCTTGGAGGAGGTGGGCTTTGACTTTTGAATGAGACCTTGAAAGATAGGGAGATGGGTGGGAAGGTGTTCCAGGAAGAGAAAGGGAGGACCCAAGATACACAGAAAACACAGCCACCTCCTTGGGACAATGAGTGATTCTACTTGACAAACAGTTTAGCTGGGTGTGTGTGGGTGTAGCCAGAACAAGACCGGAAAAGGCCAGGATGGTTGCCCATTTCCTGTGGACAGAAGGACCTAAGAAGGGTGCTCAGTGGGGGGCTGTGAGCCCAGGCTTTGGGGCTCACAGGGAAGTGAAGAACAAATGAAGAGGGCCAGGGACTAGTGTGAATACTGACCGTGCCAGAGGCAGGTCTGAGGGGGGCAGAGCACCCTCCACCTGATAAGGGCTCTGTCCTCTCCCGCGTTCTAGACGGAATGCTCTATTCAGGCACCATGAACAACTTCCAGGGCAATGAGCCCATCCTGATGCGCACGCTCGGATCCCAGCCTGTCCTCAAGACCGACAATTTCCTTCGCTGGCTGCAACGTAAGGACCTGTGCCCCAGCCAGCACAGGTCTGGCCCCCTTCCCGAGTCGGAGACCCGGCAATCTAGCCGGCTCTCATTTGTTGAGGGCATACTATGTTCAGGGCACTGGGGGTATAGCCGGGAAGAAGACAAAGCTCCCATCCTCGTAGTTACTTTCGCCTTCCGTAAATAAAAAAGTACCAGCCCCCTCCCGCGGCCCTCTAGGCTACCCTTGACCAGCGGTGGGACCCGAGGCACCCCTGTCTCCTGGCCTCCAGAGCCAACCCCAGGGTTTTCACCAAGGGGAACCCAGGGCATCCAGGGGCTCAATCCCTACACCTGTCTGCCCCGCCCCTGCAGCGGACGCCTCCTTCGTGGCAGCCATCCCTTCGACACAGGTCGTCTACTTCTTCTTTGAGGAGACAGCCAAAGAGTTTGATTTCTTCTACAAGCTCAACACTTCGCGGGTGGCCAGAGTCTGCAAGGTCGGCCGCCTGGGCGGGAGGCGGGGCTGGCCCTGGAGGAGCCAATGGGGAGATGGCAGAGGCGGGGCCGATAACCTAGGGCCCAATGGGAAAGGGGAAAGGCGTTTCAGGGGGCGGGGACATGCTGGTCGAGGTCGTTCTTGACTCAACCTGCGCCCCTAGAACGACGTGGGCGGCGACAAGGTGCTGCAGAGGAAGTGGACCACCTTCCTGAAGGCCCAGCTGCTCTGCGCCGAGCCGGGGCAGCTGCCCTTCAACGTCATCCGCCACGCTGTGCTGCTGCCGGCCAATTTCTCCACCGGTCCCCACGTCTACGCAGTCTTCACCTCCCAGTGGTGAGCAGCTCGGCGGGGATGGGGGTGTGTGGAAGTGGGGTGTGGTGGGGGTTGGGATCCAGGGCCTGCGCCCGTGCTGCCCTGGCTCGCCAAGGCGGGCAGGAACTACCTGAGCCGAACACACACTGCACACTTTACATAGGAAGGCATTGGATTCCTGCCCTTCGTGTATAATAGATAGGAAAAATAAAGCTCAGAAAGGGTCTTATTCATTTATATCCTGCCTGCTTCCAAAAAGGATAGGAGGCAGCTTACAAAAGCCAACCATTAAAAGAAAAGAAAACCGGTAAGGAAATGGGAATAAAAGGAGGATAAGAGAAGTCGAGGATAAGATCAGCACATTACAAATATTTGTCATGTATACAGTCCCTGGATGCTGGTCACAAATTTATCTCTGAGCTTCCTAATGGCCAGAGCAAAGAGGGAAACGCGCCATGACGTAAAAAAATACAGTCGTTGTTTGGAGGCTGAGAAAGGTTAACTGGCTTCCTGGGATCTGGCCCCACAGTGTTTTAGATACCCGTTGACAGTGTGTCGGGCACCAAAGATACTGATGTGAGCACGGTCTGGTATCTGTGGCATCCAGAACTGACAACCTCGTGTGCCACGGTCAGCTTAAAGAGAACAAGACAGACAGACCTTCTGTCTCCACAGACCAGGGCTCTGGAATAAAAAGAGTCTTGTAGTCAGGCTCTGGTTGGTTCTCTGAGGACCAGGACTCCCTGGGACCTAAGGGAGGAGGGCTTCATTGGGAGCCGGTCAGGGGCTGGTTACACTGTCCCACGGGTGCAGCCCGGGGCCTGAGCCCCAGTTAATTCTCATTAAGGATTATCACACTTCAGATCCTAAGAGGGACCAGAGTCTGGGGCCCTCCTAGCCCTGTCACCACAGCTGGGGAAAGGAGAGGCCGCTGGAGGCCGCCCCAGCCCCCCACGCTCCTGCCCTCCTGGGGTATTTCACCAAGGTTGGGCCAGGGACGGAGGGTATAGCAGAGGAGATCTCAGACAATGTCCCCTCTGCTGTCCCCAGGCAGATCGGCGGGACCAGCAGCTCCGCCGTCTGTGCTTTTTCGCTCGAGGACATCGAGCGTGTCTTTGAGGGGAAGTACAAGGGGTTGAACAAAGAGACTTCACGCTGGACTGCTCATGAGGTCCCCGAAGGGATCAGTTCCCGGCCAGGCAGCGTGAGTACCACCCCCACCCTGAGCAAAGCCCGCCCCCCACAGAGACACACACATAGTGAGCTTGTCAAAGCACCTATGGTGGCATCATAATTGCCCAGTAAATGTTAGTGTTGCCACCCAGTCCCTTCTGCTCAGATAGACACTGAGTCCAGCTGCCCACATTCCACCAGGTATAGAGCTCCCCCCTCACCCACCAGCTAAGTACACGCCAAATACCTGCGTGTCTCACTGCGGAAACAAGGGGCCCCTTCACCTGCGTTTCTTGTTTAACTTCTATTTTGGGTCAGAGTTGTATATGTACACGGCTTAAAGAATCACGTACATCGACGTGGTTGGCTACAGAAAACAGCCCCATTCCCTCCCCTCCCCTTTTTCCTCTCTAGGCACAACTACCTTCAGCTCTCTTGGCTGGTTCTTTTGGTATTTACCTCCAAATGTCTAAATAACATACTTTTATTGCTACTTCTGGACGTTTCAGTTTCAGACAGTATCCATTGAATTCCCATTCCGGGAGGTGAGGCTTTAATTGTTCTCCTCTCCCCCCCCACCCCCATCCTCCCCCAGGGGTGTGCTGGAGCTGACCTGCAGCAACTAACAAGAACTCGCTGCACAGCTCTCTCCAAATTCATGTCCAGTGACATAAGCTTGAAATCAGCCATGGTGGGAAATCTGCATATACTGCAAATCAGGGTTCCCCCACCCCCCGCCCCTGCCTCAGAGCTGCCTTATCAATGTACCCAGCCCTCATCTCCTAGCACGGTGTTATAGTAATTTTGGTTAGAGCAATATTTATATTAGGACTCTTATTATTCACAGATCAGCCATGTAGTGAGCCATGCCACGATTACTTCTGCTTTTGCATAATTTTTTCCCCCCTTGGGTTAGGAATTATCTTGATTTGTTTTTTTGCTTGCTTTGTTTTCTAAGCTCTTATCTTTAGTTTAACCCCCAAACGCTTCCTCAATTATCTGAATCTCCTCCGAGACAGACCCAGTAGGTGTTCTAAGGGTGTCATCTTCCTGGACACCCTTCCTGCCTGCTGCTGTCTGGAGCGGGAAGGGGAAGAAAGGGGGAGGGGGGAACTTTGCATCCAGGAACCGCTGCCCCAGACTGTGTCTCATCATTCTGGGCATTCCCTTTGCGTGTACCTTATGATGATCTCATGTTTCTTGCACCCCATGGCCGCTGCTGCTGTTGCTTTTATTTTCTATCTTATTTTGGTGGAGGATAGCCTCCGTAGACTCCTGGGTAGACTCCTGGAAAGGGATACATGACGGTAAACTCTTTTGAGACCTTGAGTGTCTGAAAATGTCTTTATTCTACTTTCACATTTGACAGTTTGGCTAGGTACATGTCATCCCAGACTAGAAATACTCTTCCTTCAAAACTTTGAAGGCTTGTCTACCATCTTCTGTCTTCCAGCGCTGCTGTTGAAAAGTCCAAAGCTATCTTTTTTAATTTTTATTCAATTTACGGGGGTGACATTGGTTACTCTGTCCAAAGCTATTCTGATCCCTAGTTCTTTGACTGTCACTTTTTCTTTTTTTTTTTTCTCACTAGAATGTTGTAATGCCTTTTCTTTGTTCCCGGTTGTTCTGAAATTTCACAATCTTGTGCTTTTATGCTTTGGGGGCACTCTGTTCATTTTTTTGTGCTGCACATTCAGCCTGGACATTTACTTCCTTTGGTTTTAACAAGTTTTCTCAAACTACTTCCTCATATTTCCTTTTCATTCAACAAATATTTTTTGAGGTTACATGCCACGCTTCTAGGCACTGGGCACACAGCCGGGAACAAAACAGACTCAAGTCCCTCAGGGAGCTGACATTCCAGTGTTGGAATGCTTTCTACCTTCTTGCTGGACCTACTGGACTGGTCCTCTGACTTCTTAAATCTTTCCCTGTTCTCCAAGGCTTTGGTATTGTTGTGCTTTTGGGGAGAGTTTCTCACTTTTATCTTCTGATCCTCCCATCAGATTTTTAGTTTCTGCTAAAATATATAATTTCCTAGATTTTGCTGAGCTTTAAGTAGCTTGTAAAAATGTTCTATTATGGAGAATTTCAATATGCAAAGTAGACAGTAGACCATACTGGACCTCCATATACTCATCAGCCAGCTTCGACTCACAGCCAGTCAAACCCGTTTCATCTGTTTGTGTCCCATCCACTTCCCCCTTTTTTATTTTGAAGCAAATTCTGGACTCGTATAATTTCATCATATTGAGCAAATGAAATTTGCTCAGGGCTGCTGCAACAAATTACCAACTTGGTGGCGGAAAACAAGAGAAATTTATTCTCTCAGAGTTTTGGACACCAGGCTTTCAGATTCAAGACTTCAGCAGGGCTGGTTCCTTCTGGAATCTCTGATGACTGCTAGCCGTCCTAGGTGTTCCTTGGCTGATAGACACGTCACTTCAGTCTCTGCTTCTGTTGTCACTTCAGCTTCTCCTGTGTCTCCTCCACTTCTCTTAGAAGGACACTTGTCATTTGACGTAGAGCCCATCGTAATCTGGAATGAGCTGATCTCAAGATTTTAAATTGTATCTGCAAAGACCCTTTTTGCAAATAAAGTCGCATTCACAGGTTTTAGATGGACATTTTTTGGGGGGATAGGGTGCCATTCAACCCACTAGATTATCCGTAAATATTGTAGTATGTGTCTCTAAAAGATAAGGGTTTAAAAAATATCCATAGTACCATTATCACACCCAAAAAAGTAGTAACTCCTTAATCTAACATGCGTTTCTAATTGTCTCATAGATGTCATAAGAGTATTTTTTAGTATAGTTTGTGTATTTGAATCAAAATCCAAATAAGATCAATACATTTGGATTGGTTCTTTTAAGTTTCTTTTACTCTAGCTGTTCCCTTTTCTATCTTCTTTTTTTCTCTTGTAATTTATTTGTCATGTAGCATTTTCCACCGTCTGGATCTTGATTTTGCATGGCGGTGCTGGAGATTAAGTGTTTACTGTAAAGCAGTGGTTGGATCTTCAGACTTGATCTGCTTGGTTTCGGGGGCAAGACTACTACACCGTCCTGTATCCCTCCTTCAGGACGTACGTATGTCCGGCTGCCCTCTTGACATCAGACCCCTCTTCTGTAGCATTATGGTCTTGTCTCAGCGTTCCACTATTTTCACTCCTCTCTCTTAAGATAGTAATGATCCTTGGGCTGCGAAGTTTCCTTTTCTCTGAATCAGTTTTGTGTCCTCTTAGATTTTGTTTGTGCGGTTTTTTTCTGTGTGTCCTTTGGCCTCTTCCCTGATCCTGGTTCATGCTTTGAAAAAAATCCCTTTGGGAGGAAGTGAGAGTAGGTGCATGAGCATATCCTGGCATCAGACTGAGACACATGTTATTAACTCACTCTACAAATGAGGAAGTTGAAGCTCCTCGGGTGGGGGAACTCATCTGAGGACACAGCCCGTAGGTGAACAGAGTTGGGGCCGGCTAAGACAGCACTCTTGGGTGTGGAGGACAAGGATGCTCATGGAAGATCGGGACACAGGTGTCCCTGAGCCCCAGCACACTCGTGTTGGCAGGGCCTTTAGGGAACAGCTGGTTCAACCCTCATTTTATGGGTGAGAAAAAAGGAGGCCCAGATGGAGAAGAGTCATGCAGCAAGTCCGTGCAAAACCATGATGAGACACGCTCCCTGCCACGCCACTCCTTTCTGTGACATCTTTTATCCAGTCACGACTCAGCAGACACTTATTAGGCGCCAACTGTGTGCCAGGTCCTGTGCTAAACCGGGGCTACAGGCATGAGTAAAACATGGTCCTTGCCTGCAAAGGCCCCCTCCCCTCCCGCGTCTTGCCGTCTGTCAGAACTCCTCCTCGGTGAAGGTGAGGAGGAGGAAGGCCAGAACAGCTGACCTTTACTGAGCACTTCATTCACTCAGTCACTGTTCCAGCAACTTTTCATGTGTTTTCCATTTCATCCACACGGCAGGCCTGTCATGGGTTGGCAGTATGCCCATGTCACTGTTCAGGACCCTCGGGCACGCAGAGGCTGGAATTCCAGGCCAGGCAGCTCCGGGGTCCCACCTCTAACCACCATTCGGAGATGAGGGCTGCCATGAAGGAGGGTGGCAGAGGAGATTGGCAGGGCGGGGAGGAGAGACGGAAGAGGCGATGCGTGAGCCTCAGGGAATGTGCAAGCTGACCCAACCTGCCTCCTTCCCCCTTCAGTGCTCGGTGGGCCCGTCCTCTGATAAAGCCTTGACCTTCATGAAGGACCATTTCCTGATGGATGAGCAGGTGGTGGCGAAGCCCCTGCTGGTGAAGTCTGGGGTGGAGTACACACGACTTGCGGTGGAGACAGTCCAGGGCCTCAACGGGCACACCCACCTGGTCATGTACCTGGGCACCAGTGAGTACAGGGGCTCCAGGACCTTCCCCCCTCCCCCCGCCCCAGGGGATGAGGGCAGGGGCTGCAGCTCCGGTTGAGGAGGGAAGCCTTTGCGTTCATTCACTCATGCATTCGTTCAACAAATGTTTTCTGAGCACCTTCTATGTGCCTGGCACCCTGCTGGGCTCTGAAAATACAGCGGGGAGACAAAATAGCCAAGTCCCTGTCCTTTCTGGTTGGGGAGGGACACACAAGGGCTTTAGTGGCCCTAGCCAGGGCTGTTTATCTTCTGGGGGAAGTCATGTGAGAGAGGTGGAGGGTAGACGTGGTAGAGGGTTGCTGCACCCAGCAAGTGCACAGGTGGTTCTTTCGGAAGCTTGGCTGTGAAGGGGGTGCCTGGTAGAGGGTGTGGGGTCCAGCCAGCATTCTCTTCTTAAACATGGGAAAACTTGTCGCAAGGGGCTAGTTGGCAGGGGAAGTTGCAGAGGGAGCAGTAAGCCGGAGTCCAGGGACCGGCCCAAACGGAGGACAGCCAGCGCCCCTGCTGGGGTGGGTGAGGAGGGGTGAGACTGGAGGCGGGCAGGAAGCAGAGGGCGCCCTCGGGGGAAGGCTTTTGAGTTCTCCCTGGTGGGAGAAAAGAGCTGGGAATGAGGGACTGAGAAGGTAGGAGGTTTGAGGAGAGCAGGGACTCAAGTAGCCATTGTGGGAAGGAGGCGGGAGAGTCACTGGGATGTGGAGATCGCCAAGCGTGTCTGTGGAGGGCCTGGTGAGGTGGTGACCTTGAGTGTAGTGGAGGAAACCTGCCGGGTTCATTCGTGCTTTTAGGACCTTTACTAGGCACCGTATCCACTTTCCCATGTGGTGTATACAGTAGAGAACGAACAGACAGAAAGCTCGACCTTGTGGGGTGCATGGAGACAGACAAGAAACTCACTGACTCAGTGAGGTAGGACGCGAGGTGATTAGAAAATCAGTCCAGCTGGCGGGGGTCGGGGGGGATCGGCCACACTCGTCAGTGTGGAACTCCCTGGAGGGCCTTTGACTAGCAGCACTTGATGGAGGTGAGGAAGGCTGGTGATGTGATTTTCCACAGAGGCGCTCAGCTGTCCACTGCCCTGTGTCCACGGAGATCGTGGACCGTTGGGTCCCCGAAAGCATTTCATCTCCATGGCACAGAGGGAAACGGTCTGACAGATCTGTGTCCAGTGGACATGGCCCTTCAGAAAGGCCTTTCTGACGGCTGGGAGGCCCTCTGGGGTTGAGGAAGGGGACGAGGGGCGTGTGGGTGAGGCGAGGCAAGTTCAGCTCTCTGTCTCTTCACAGCCACAGGGTCCCTGCACAAGGCTGTGGTGAGTGGGGACGGCAGGGCCCATCTGGTGGAGGAGATCCAGCTGTTCCCTGAGCCTGAACCTGTTCGCAACCTGCAGCTGGCCCCCACCCAGGTGAGAAGGGGCCTGATGGGGCGGGTGTGGGGTGCTGGGTCCTTGCCAGACCTGGCGGGAGCACGCTGACACTCTCCATCTCTCTTCCAGGGTGTACTGTTTGCAGGCTTCTCAGGAGGCATCTTGAGGATTCCCCGAGCCAACTGCAGTGTCTACGAGAGCTGTATGGACTGTGTCCTTGCCCGGGACCCCCACTGTGCCTGGGACCCTGAGTCCCGGATGTGCCGCCTCCTGCCCCCCCGCGTCCCGTGAGTGTGGGTCCTGGGTGGTGCCGGACCCCTTCTGCCCGGCTTGTGCTCCTGTCCCTCCAAGCCCCCCCTCCTGTGGGGGGCCCCTCCAAAGGTGGCGTTGCACCCAGCAGCGGTGAAGCTGTTCCCGTGTCCTGGGTGTCCTACCGTGTGTCCCCACCACCACCTTCTTCCCCACTGTTCCCTCCCTCCTCTTCCCACCTTGTCTGTTTCAAGGGGTGATTGTTGCTTTCCCTGCCTTCTCAGGAAGTCCTGGGGGCAGGACATGGAGCGAGGGAACCCAGCGTGGGCGTGTGCCAGTGGCCCCATGGGCAGGAGCCTGCGGCCTCAGAGCCGCCCCCAAATCAGTGAGTGTGGGACCAAGGGAGATGCAAGGGCTCGGGAGGACTCCCGGGCCGCGGTGGGTGTTCTTGCCTCAGTTTCTTCCCCCAGCGCCTGCCTGGCTGGAGCTCCTGGAGTTGGGATGGATTTGGGCCCTGGCTCTAGGGAGAGGGAGTAGGGGTACTAAGGTGGGATTCGGGATGGCGGGTGAAGTTGGTTTTGGTGTCAAAGCTGGAGTCGGATGGGCTGGAGGTTAGTTTGGGGTCCAGACTGGAGATAGGGAGGGGATCGGAGTTGCGTTTGGGAGTTGAAATGGAAGTTGGAGACATGAGTTGGGAGTCCATAGATAGGGCAGAGACGCTCCCCGGCCCTCCTTGCCCCTCGCCACCCTTAACCTTTTGTCCGTTTCCCTTCACCTGCAGTTAAAGTCGTTTTGGCTGTCCCCAACTCTATCCTGGAGCTGCCCTGCCCCCACCTCTCAGCCCTGGCCTCTTACCGCTGGAGTCGGGGGGCAGCTGCGAGCCTGGGGATGTCGTCCGTGGTCTACAATGGCTCCCTCCTGCTGGTGCTGCGCGATGGGGTCGGGGGCCTCTACCAGTGCTGGGCCACTGAGAATGACTTCTCATACCCCGTGGTCTCCTACTGGGTGGGTATCCAGGACCAGCCCCCCGCCCTGGATCCTGAACTGGCCGGCATCCCCTGGGAGCGCGTGGAGACCCCGCTGACCAAGGTCAGGGGCGGGGCCACCCTGGCTGCCCAGCGGTCCTACTGGCCCCACTTCCTCACGGTCACCGTGCTGCTTGCCTTAGTGCTTTCGGGAGCACTCGTCTTCCTCCTCGCTTCCCCACTGGGGGCACTCCGAGCCCGGGGCAAGGTCCAGGGCTGTGGGACCCTGCCTCCCAGGGAGAAGGCCCCATTGAGCAGGGAGCACCATCAACCTCCTAGGGAATGCAGGACCTCTGCCAGTGACATGGACTCCGACAACTGCCTGGGCACCGAGGTGGCTTAAACTCGGCACAGGCTGGGCTGTTGGGTAGGGCATGGCGCCTGGCCATGCTAACTGGGTGGCCCGGAGCAGTGCAGAACGGACTTGAATGGGAGTGACACAAAAGGCCACCTTCCTCTCACGAAAGGAGCCTCTCCGCCACCCTGTGTCACCAACGGCACTCAGCAGGCTGGGCACAGAGGCTGGCTCTCCATGGGACTCCCTTCTACCAAGCACATGAGCTTTTAAATGGGGGCTGCCCAGACGTGGACCTTTGGGCTGTGACCGGAGGCCCTGGAGAACATCCTTCAGTTCTGGCCGTTCCGGGATCCTCCAAAAACTTATGCTCCAGGAAACCCTAGAACACCTGACTGTTCCAGGACCCTGTGATAATCAACACCAGACATCTGAACAACCACAAGACAGCATGTCGCTCCTGGGGACTCCACTCTGATGGCAGCACCACCTCGGACACCAAACTCCCCTCTCCCTGGTCTCCAGGGTTCTGCAGGGAGCTTCCCCCTCCTGCTCGCCTTTTCAGCTGTGCATCACTGACCCCAGGAAGTTCTTCCTGAAGTCTGACCACCTTTCGTCTTGCATCAGTTGGGGGAGATTGTGATTCTTTGTGGCCTGGCTAGAACGGCAGGGGTAATCTGAGCCTTGTTCGCGCTGACCCTTTGACCTCGCCTCTCCCCTCGCCTTTGTTTTGGAATTCAGAAAACTACTTGTTTCAGACAGTTTATTTTTTATTAAAAAGACAAAGTGTATGATCGGTGCCGTTTTTGTCCGAGCAGGATGCTCAAGCTGAGGACTGCGAGATGTAAGGGGAGCGGTACCCAAGGCCATCAGTGGGAGGAGGGCTAGGTTGGTGGGGTGCTTGTCCCCTCAACTTCTGTCCTGCTAGCTCCCCCTAGAACCAGCCCACAGCCCTTTCCTCTGCTCCGGCCTCTGCTAGAGGGTGCCTCAGACTGCCTTTCGGACCAACATCTGTGCTGGCCAGCTTCAGCTGGTGTCTGCTGGCCAGGCTACACCTCATCCATCACTGGGTGATGATTTGGCGGCTGTCCTCGCAGCTGCTGTCCCCAGCTCTCCCACATTTCTCATGACTCCAACTCAGCCCCCCCATCCCCACTCTAGCAGTTGGTTCCAACTCCTGGTGGATTAATTTATAGAAAGACTGTGCAGCCTCCCCTAGCCAGCTTGGCCACGTCCTTCCCAGTAGCTGACAATCAGTATGCTGTCCACACCCCCACACCACCTCCCCCATCCCTCCTGTCCCTCTTCCATGTGTCTCTCTTCCAACCAAAGCTAAGCAGTGCCTTTGCCCCCTCCTCTCTGCAGAGAGCCCCAGCATTGTCCCCTCACTTTAC